CCCGAAACCAGTATGCGCGAAAACATATTTAGGTTCTCTCGTCTTTGTCTAATCCCTCTCTTTCTTTTCCATTGATAAACCGTTTTCCTCTATTGGGGGTAAATGAGTATGCTGATTATTACGAATATATTATTGACAGCCGGGCGAGCCGAGTTTGCCAGCTAGTGAAAATACAAAAAAAACATATTATAAAATTCTAAATGTCAATTGAGCCTTGTAAAATTTTTATATGTCGCCTCCAAAAATTCTGCAATTATTCATCAATGGCCATAGTAGAGTAGTTGACTCGAAGACGCCCTAGCCGCGCCGCACCCCTCGCCGCAATCGCGGCGCACAGTGCGATGTAACGAACACAAGCAGTTAAGACGGGAAAAGCACCTGTAACTTCCCACATGGCAGTTTTCTTGCATCCGGCCTACCTTCGATAGATTTGTGCAATTCATCGGACTCGATAAAAATTCCCTGTAAATTCTATCTTGCCTCAATGGTCCCATAGCATTGATAAGCCAGACAAACCATATAGTCATTGCCAAGTCGATAAGAGCCAATTTCGTAATTATACGTCAATTCGATTACGAAATGATCATCTTCAGGACCGTAGCCAACCATTGTTTTGCTCCATTTTCCGTTGTAAGGACTAAATATAGTCGAACGTTAATGACGCAAAAGTGATGTTTGATAGTGATACAAAGATCGTACCCATTGCATGATGCTGCGCATCCTTCTTCGAATTCTTCATGACGCAACACCTAAATAAGCTGTATTATATAAAAGTTGGAGAATGGAGAAGAAAAGTTATACCTTCATTTGTAAGACTTTTGTGAAAAAATCGTAAGAGGCCTTCCGATCCCCAATTTTGAAAACATAATGTAGAGCTCTGATGGACATCAGTTTTTTTACTCTGGAAATAGTCAAAGTGCATGAAAAAAATTGCAAATGTAGCGTAATTCATCCTCAGCAGAGAATGGTCAGAATTTAACCCAGCCATACCAGACAAGCTATATATATCATGGGGCTCGCCCTGAAACGCTGATTTATGTTTTTTATCTGCCGAACGACTACCTGGAAGGAATTATAAGTGTTTGAGTGCACGATTTGTTAGGTGTTCTGTGGCCTATTTTCTACGACATACGTTACGAAAACGCTTATTCAGGTTTTTGGCGGTTGTACTTTTTTCTTGTAATTAAAATACCCAGAACATCATAAATCCTCGCTATCAGGCTGCATCAATAAACTGTTAAGTTGTCCCATAGTCTTTCCATGTTTCGTACTTTACTGCCATAAGCCATTTCTTCGTAAATTTCTCATGGCAGTCGGGGTACCATTTCGATAGAGCAAAGCATACAAGATGACGTTCAAACATCACACATTAAGTGTGATCCACACAAGGTTTTACTTCGAAATTCAAAAAGATCCAAATGCCCAAAAAATTGAAAAAAATCAAATCTTCGTCTAAAATATCGTACAGAATTTCCAAATTATTCTAGCATATAACTTCCACATCAGACATTCATACATACACTTGCCTAACTCTTCCATTGCTAGAAATCGAGAAAATAAAAATTTGCTTTTTTCGTAAAAGCTATACTGAGTCGTTCCTACATAGACAGATCTATAGTATGAACCTTTGTAAGTACCACTATAAATTTCCAGCCTTGTATGTGCTTTACTTCTCGAGAAATAACGAAATAAGCGCAAAAAACCCTGAGAAAGCGACATTTTCTGGGTTTCTTGTAATTTTGGAATAATTTTGTTTCTCGATTTCTAGCCATGAAAATATTCAGCAAATGTAAATATTAGGTTGAACCGAAAGTTAGTTCGCACCATTTCCAAAAATCGTAACTTCTTTCTAACATAATATTTCTGCATGGCTTCAATTTTATTAAAAAGTAT